TGCTTCTTTTAACTTTGAATTTTTTCTTTTGTTTTTCCAGCATAAATTTGCAAAAGATTTCATGACTTACTTGTCTGCACCCAATGCTTCTGTTGTGAGTCTTTTTATGATTCTTCTTGGGAATAAAATTAAACTTGAAAAAAAATTCACTGACAATCCAGTTACTTATGTGTTGTCAAATATCTCTGTTTGTTTGAATTTAGAATGGGAAATCTGAAGCATCTTTGTATTTTTGTTTTGGGATATTAATTAGGTGAGAATATGATTACCCATGAAGGATGCAGAGGTGTCTAATTCTTGTGACAAAAGAATAAGAAAGGCCATAACATTCATGGATTGTCATACCTCAGTAATTCTGTCTCAGTTCTAAATATTGGGAATTTCCTTTTTAAAAAATTTGTTCTTAGTAAAGATTCAATTGCTTTTGAGGCATTGCTGCTCTGATGATAGGAAGACTGCAAGATTTTTATTTTCTGGTAAAAACAATATAGATTAATGCAACATTATTTATAATATGGAAAAATTATAAAATCAGAAAATCTAAAAGTAGTTAAATAAATTTGATTATGGCCTATTCATACATTCTTGAATGGTGGAGCTATCAAAATCATACTGTACAAGAATTTTTTGTGAGTAAAGATTGCTTATAATAGATTATTAAAAAGGTTAAAAATATTCTGTATAGCACCATGTCAATTTCACTTGAAAAAAGTATATATAGATAGAGGAAAAGATGCAGAGAAAAAGCCAAAATGTTAACACCAGTTCTCTTTGGGTGGTGATCCAAGAGATTATTATTTCTTCTTGATACTTAATTTTTGAAGTTTTCTGCATTGAACTTATATTTGATAATCAGGGGAAATATTTGTTTTTATAGATTTTTTAAAAGTTACAAATATTAGCCTTCTAATGTGAGTAAATTAGTTCTGATAATAAAAAATTGTAACACAGTGGTTACAGCAATGTCATCGTTTTGCATTTTCAGACAGGTCCTTACAACCTGGAAACCTGCCTCAGTGTGGTGCTGCTGTCTCTTGCCATGGTAATGGCTGGCTCGGGGAACCTAAAGGTTTTGCAGCTTTGTCGCTTCTTGCACATGAAAACAGGTGGTGAAATGAACTATGGTTTTCACTTAGCCCACCATATGGCCCTTGGACTTCTGTTTTTGGGAGGAGGAAGGTAAATGAATATGTATTTTTTTTTCTTCAGTGGAAAGATCTCATGAGTGAGATCTGTAAGTGTGACTGATGTAGAAGGTACATGAAAATTTTAAATTCTGACTAGCTATTAGCCTATCTAAGGGGCATTATTATACTTTTTGGGCTTATTTATAGTTTAACCATCTGTTTATGGCCTACTCAGTAGAATTACCATCCTCTCTGACATACTTACCATCATTACGTTTCTCAGAGGAGTCTGTATTCAGTACTTCAGTGGATCACCTCTTGTTCCCAACTTTTAAAGATTTTACCCTT